TCATGATCTCAGGGTCCTGGGATCGAGCCCTGCATCGGGCTCCCTGCTCGGCGGGAAGCCTGCTTCTCCCTCTCCCACTCCCCCTGCTTGTGTTCCCTCTTTCGCTGTGTCTCTCTCTGTCAAATAAATAAAATCTTAAAAAAAAAAAAAGAAAATCAACAAATAAACTTATAAAACAATTTCAAACATACTCAAGGAAAACTCAGAGCTGTAATTCTTCTCATGGAAGCACTGTATGTGTTTTCTAACCTCAGTTTAATACAAACTTTGTACCCTTCATCTTCCACTCAAGAACATTTAAAAGAAAAGGGCAGTGTATTCTTTAAGAGACTGTCTGGACTACGTACCTATTTGGAAGATGATGGCTGCCGAAGGTCGTACTTCCCCCAGGACCCACAAATAACCTCAGGCCTTCTTCTGCAATTCACATTTAAAATACTTGTTATAGGTACACTTACTAGATTGTCGTCAAATAATATTCCTATTGTACTCCATTTATATTTTACATTTCAGTTTTATTAAAGAAATAAAAAACTTAAAAAACTGCACGCATGTTTTCAAACAGGCAATTTAGAAGATATCCTCATAGTTATTTCTCAACTTCCCTAAAGCTATTTTTCTTTAAAACTGAGTAAAGAAGACATCTCTTCCTATAAATTTCCACAAGTAAGGTTTAATTATTTCTCTTTACAACCAGTTACATAGTAAAACTAAGTCCACTGTTAACTGCTCTCTATTCACACCAGCATGGATAATTACACCTTTCAAACTGGTGGCATGTAAATTTTCAGCCTCAGTGAAAATGTTGAGGAAGGAATAAAGGATTCTATTATTATTCACTATCATCTCAAGATCACCACCCAACCCTCCAAATTACACAGTGATGTGAAGTACTAGTGTCCAGTTATGTCAAAACAGACGTAGACATCGTCCATAAGGTATATAAACATGGTGGACGTTGAAGCATACACAATAAAACCTCTCATCAAAATTGATGTTTTTAAACTCAGGTTCATTCTTTTCCCAATTTGATATCCATTCCTGGAAATAAATGAGCTACATAGTTATCTTCAGATTTTCATGGGCAATGAAATTCATTTTATCGACGTGCAACAGGGTGATGTAGGGCCCCTTCCCTGTTGAGCACATGGACTACACGGACCTGGGTTGCAGACATCTATGCACATTTAATATTACCCATATACCTTCGGCACTGGAATCAAGGCTGAAGTCTTGACTCTGTAGGATTTTCTCCACAATATCATCTGCGTCCACTCTGGTGTCATCGACTCGCTTCAGCTGAGATTCTACAGAATCTTGCTTCACTGGGCATCTTGGAAAATAATTAAAAAAATTTTTCCCCCTCCTTTTTCTTATGAGAACAAAGTTGGTTTTTTTCTCCCCATTTAAACACAGACTGAAAGGATACCTGGTGAGCAGTTCCGAAGCAGTATCTTCTTTGCTGGCTGGATCAAGGTTTGGTTCGGCTGTTTTTGGCTCAATTTCATCACACGGCTCTAGAATGCTTTCAATTCCCGTTGATGTGCTTCCCACTGAGGTGTTTCTCCTGTGACAGAGCTCAGAGAAACTGGATGACCGGGAGTGGCACGAGCTATACCCTGTCAGAGAAAAGCGCTCTGGATAAAACACTAACATCAAATACGCTGCAATGAAGCATTCTTCTTCCACACCCCAGCAATTTCAATTAATCCTTTAGAGCAATAAATATCTAAGGATTTCAACCTCACTGTTAGCCTCTACCTGATACTTTGGACTGCTGGCTTGCATAGCTTGATGTTCTAGAATGTCCACAGGCACCAAGTTCATCTGGAACAGAGGCACTCTTTGCTGAAAGATCTGCAATGTCATAACACAGTGTTACTATGACTGCCGACAAGTCAATGGTCAATTTGTATTCTCATCTGCAGATTTTGTAAACTGCCAAGTTCATTATCAAGAAAAATTAGTTACAAAGTGAAAGAGACCCTTTTAAATTGGTACAATGTCAACTGCATTGCAAGAAATACAAAAAACTTAGTTTATTGAATAGTTTTTTTTTCATAAGATTTAACAGCACTCTCTTAAATAAAACCATTTCAGCTTTGACATTCAGTATTTCTCTAATAAAAGTGAGTCGGATGTATTCTTATACTCACAAAATATCCAGGTTTTTGTGTGCTTTCTGAGGAAATCTTTTGCTCTCAAAAAATCCATCACAGCAGTAAACTAAAGAGCACTCCGTTACTTTAATGTTAGTATTGCTAATGCTAGGCTATAATTTGGGCAAATGTCTGTGGTTTAAATCAACACAGCATGGAATGTAGCAGTGAGAATACAAGTTCTCAGGAATTGATTATAGTATTCAGTTTCAAAGTAAATGTACAAAAAAACCCCCCAAAAAACTCAAAACAAAACCCAAAAAACCCCAAACCAAAAAACCAACCCAGGGTCAAAGCCATTTCTAGCCATTCCCTGATAATATGCATATTCCAGATGCCAATTATATATTTCCAGAACCAGCTTCCTCAGAATGCAAAACTGTGGTGATTTTCATTAGTGTGAAATATTTGGAAACTAGAACTGTTTTTCACTTAGAGGCAAAAGGAAACCAACTGAGTAACACAGCAATTATAGCAGCAGGTCTATAGATGATATTGGATGCAGCTGGACCAAGGAATGCTGCTCAACAAGGAGGCTACTGGAGTGACCTGGCCCTTCTGCAAAGGTTTCTCACTTCTGGATGGGCCACAAGATAGGAATCCAAACCAGCATCCCTGGGCCTGCTTTACAGTGGTTCTAAACAACAAAAATGAGCTACAGCAAGATCGAAACCCAAAGTACTGGTTCATATCAGGAATTATATAGGACTAACCTTTTATTCTGAGAGTTGGCTCAGATTTTAATTCATTTATCTATTGGTTTTCAAAATGTATTCATTCAATAATTATTTATTAAGCTCTTACCAAGTCAGGTGCCCAGTAGTATATAAGATAAAGGGAGTACAGGGGCGCCTGGGTGGCTCAGTTGGTTAAGCCACTGCCTTCGGCTCAGGTCATGATCCTGGAGTCCCGGGATTGAGTCCCGCATCCCCCGCATCAGGCTCCCTGCTCAGCAGGGGGTCTGCTTCTCCCTCTGACCCTCCCCCCTCTCATGTGCTCTCTCTATCTCATTCTCTCTCTCAAATAAATAAATAAAATCTTAAAAAAAAGATAAAGGGAGTACAAAATAAATGCTCAGAGTTTAGAGGTAGAAGTGGTTATAATACAATGTGGCAAGCACTGAGAAAGTGTTACTAAGAGCTTGGAAGGATAAGTACATCGAACACTACCTGGTAGTGGGGGCAAGACCCCATAGAGGAGGCTACCTCGAGGTCTTTTTTAAATTTATTTTTATGTTTTAAATATTTTATTTATTTATTTGAGAGAGAGAGAATGAG